AAATTATTTTTAAAAAATTACACTTTCATGATTCATTAAACCCTAAGCATGATACATCCTCTATCATGCAATTATTATCTAAAAATAGACATGTTTACTCCTGGAGGGAAGACAGATGCCTGTAGTATTAAGAAAGCTCACAAAGCTCATTGTCTTCACAAGGTGCTGCCTAAGAACATATCATCAGTATTCAGAGTCAGGAAGAAAACAGATTCTTCAGTGAAGCCAACTGTAAGCTGAGCTGGGAGATTCACTGAGGGAGCTTAGACACTCACTATCCACACATCTGTGGGTTTTCAGGGGACACTACAGAGCATGTCTCCTATCCAACACAGACAATAAGAAATTATAATACAAGGCAAATAATAAATTGTGTAAAAGTAAAGCCTTACCCCCTAACTTAAAGATTTCTATTATCAATTGGAAGCTAAAATGCTAGAATAAGAACCATATCAAATAACTGCTGAAATTTTAACAATTATTTTATGCTCTCAAGTGTCTTCTCATCTCTTTGAATTAATACACAGGTAATAAACACTCCAAATAAGGAAAAACATCAAAACTGTACCAAAAAAGAAAGAAATGAATTAGAAATAAAGTGTAGAATGCCAGGGATTTCATTAGCTGGGAATAAAATGTAATTGGGGCCATGAAGAGGACTAAGGTGTTAAGAACTCTTGCTTCTCCTACAAAAGATCTGAGTTCTATTCCATGAGTTCTGTTCTATACATGGTGGTTCTCAGCTGCCTGTAACTCCACCACTAGGGAATCTGATACCTCTCTGTCTCCCTCAGTCTCCTGTATGCACATGGTAAATGTGAACTCAGGAACACTCACACATACACATAAATAAATTTTAAAATAAGTGCACAATGATATTTATAAGAAAAAGTACTAAGAAATTTTATTCTTAGATAGTGTAAAATGTAAAAAAAGCCAACCAGGCTCTTAATCTGATATATGCAGTGGACATTCCACCATCATAAACACATTTGAATTTAAAGATGTCTCATATCCTCATGGTACATACAGAGCAATTTTGCATGGAGGAAGAAAAAATGTACAGTATCAATTCTATTGAATGAGGAGAAAGAAAATAATAGTATATATGTAGTGTAAAAGACAAGAAAGAAGGAGAAAGACACATCAAACTGAAATAAATGTGGCTAAAGGACTCATCAATGGATAAATTAGCTTGTGAGTCTCTTCCAGGTTTTCTTCACAGCAAGCTTGACATCCTTGTTTCTGAGACTGTAAATGAGAGGATTCAACATGGGCACCAAAAAAGTGTAAAACACCGAGAAAAATTTGCCCTGGCCCACAGTCTCAGCAGATGATGGCTTGACATAAGCAAGCAGCCCAGATACATAAAAGAGACAAACAGTTATGATGTGAGACCCACAAGTGCCCAAGGCTTTGGACCAACCCTTACCTGATGACATATGAATGATATTGAAAAGGATCAAAGCATATGAGATAAAGATAATGAGGCAGCATAAAATGATAGCTATACCCACCACAACAGAACTCACAAGCTCATTCACGTAGGTGTTACTGCAGGAGAGCCTAAGGAGTGGGAAGATGTCACACATGTAGTGGTTGATGATGTTAGAATCACAAAACCTGAGCCTGATCATGAAACTTGTGTGGAACAAGGCACTAATTAATCCCATTGAGTAAGTACCAAATATCAACAGACAGCAGAGCTTAGGGGACATAACAACTTTGTACAGCAATGGCTGACAGATGGCCACATAGCGGTCATACGCCATGGCTGTCAGCAAGTAACTCTCAGAGTTCACAAAAAAGAAGAAGAAAAACAGCTGAGTCATACATCCTCTGAAGGAGATGGTGTTCTTCTCTAAAACAAAACTCATCAGCATTTTGGGAGTAAAGACAAGTGAATAACAGAAATCAATGAAGGACAGATTAAAGATAAAAAAGTACATAGGAGTGTGAAGGTTTGAGTTTAGGCAAATAAGATTCATTAAGCTCAAATTTCCCATCACAGTGACTGTGTAGTTCACCAAGAACAGAATAAATAAAGGCAGCTGGAGCTCAGGTTGGTCTGTCAGTCCCATAAGAAAGAACTCAGACACTGAAGAGTCATTTTTCATAGTCATTTGCATCATGTGTGGCATCTGCAAGAGTAAGTGTAGAAAGCAATGTTAACCCACTAACCATCATTCACTCCAAGGGCAGAGCTGGATTTATCAGTTTCCAAGCTTGAGTGAAGAACATGGAGTCCTGAGGAATCCTTACTTTTTCCTTTGCCTACCCATGTTGTCTATATCACTCCAGAAAGATGCTAGGGGATTTCAGTTTCTTTGCAGGAAGCATCCTTTCTTTCTTTTAGTGTTTACTAAGGATTAAGACTGAAAACAGCAATGCATGCATTTTCCTCAGAACTTATGATTCATATAGATGTGGTTTCGAAGGTAAAATGTCAAGATAAAGGTTATTCAGTGCTCACCTTGGTTCACCTGGAGCCTTCCCTAACATTGGGATTCATGATGTCTTCCTCCAAAAAGTGCTCAGAGGCCCAAAGTTGCTAATAATGAAGCTAGCAATTGCAATATGCTGACAATGTGTCTGACTTGCTAGAAGATGTTTTCTGGGGAAAACAACGTGGTTGCTGTTTGAGAATTTCACCAAGATTCTTCTTTCATACAAAAAAGAAGGTGGCTTTCTTTCAGGAGTCTCCAATATCTCAAGGTTAAGATTTTTGAGAAAATTTATTAGAAGCACAGAAAATTATTCCTTCTTTATGATGTTCTCCATGCTGGATGAGTTTCTTGAGAGAAAAAAATTGTTGAGTGTGTGCCATAGAACTAACATCAGTCCTTTGGAGATTCAACATTCTACTCAATTTATAAATTTCCAGAGGGAGTATCTAGTCCCCAGGGCAGAACTGTGAGTGGTACCCCTTGTCATTCTCTTCATTAAGCTTTGCACACTTCTACAAGAAGAAATGTCCAGGGACATTCTCACTTGCCACTTTTAGCTTTCCTCTGATTTCAGTAATAAACTGTTGACCAAGGAGTAGTATTGTACAAAAATAATTGTATGAATGCGATAGAAGTATAAATAGGCTCTCAAGTTAGTAGAAATTTACATTAGAACTTTTCACTTCCTAGGTATGATACTGTAGACTATATTGATCATTGTTTATTTATGTCTGCACTTTTTTGTTGGTTTTTTTTTTGAGACAGTATTCTCTGTGTAGCCCTGGCTGCCCAGGAACTAACTCTGTAGATCAGGCTAAGCTCAAACTCACAGGGATTCACCTGCCCCTGCCTCCCAAGTGCTAGGATTAAAGGCATGCACCACCACCTTGTGGCATATCTGCATATTCTTATAAAAAACTAAAAAATAGTTTCATAAAAATTAGCTTAAATTCTGGACCCATAGTAAATCTCTTGGTTATCATACAGAAATTTATGGGTACAAATTGTAAAATAATGATAATGATAAATTAAAATATATAAAATAAAAGATCTATTATGTTTTGAGAAAATTTACACAATATATTAAAAGTTTATTAGATACATGAAAATACAATAGTATTTGTCCCCTTCTACTCTTCACATGCTTACTCAGATAAGTAAAGTTGTTATTGCGGTGACACACTTCAAGAAACTAAATTATTGCTGTGCAATTATCCTATGTAGTGGAAACAAAACAGAATCTTTGGCCCCTACCATTCTATGACATGCTCTCCTTATCACCACCATACACACATGAACCTCAGTCTACAATATTCCTCTAGATATAATCAAATGTTCATTGCAAAGTAACTGCCCACAGAAGATGAGGTGCTGAAGTACATATTCTCAATGGGACTATTTTGAACAAAAGGACATTGGATATATGAAGAAGGGTATTTAAGATTGATAATAAGAATTATGTACACTACACACAAAAATTAATTCACAACAAGCCATCTATGTAAATATAAAAATCTAAGGCCATAACACTCTAACAGAAAGACTGTAAGATAAAAACACTGAGACTTACAGATCTATAAACAATTTTAAATTAGGCTTATCTTTAACTGTGAACAAATCTCATTAGTTTTTTCAGCGAATTGAGGATTTCAGAGGACCTGGATCACATCAGGAAAAGAATTCAGGACAAAGAAATGGGAAATTTAGAAGAAAGGGGTTAATGAGAAAAAGTCAAATTCTTGCTCTCTCTTTCTCTCTCTCTCTATCTCTTTCTCTCTCTCTGAGTGTGTGTGTGTGTGTGTGTGTGTGTGTGTGTGTGTGTGTGTGTGTGCTAATCACTCCTTAATTTTCATTTCAGGCAGGGACACTTATTAGTCTATCAGAAACAGTCTTGGAACATTATTAGTGACATCTTTTACATTGCTCTTCATAGCTATACAAGCTTTTTTTCTCTGAGGTCTCCCATAGGATCAAATTTTTATTAATTTCAAGGCCAATTTCTTGGCCAATCATTTTATAACACCAAGCCTAATCCATGCTGATTTGACTCTCAGTCATCAGCATAAAATTCTACAGTAATAAATCTCAGTCAGAAGAATATGGAAACAGATACTACTGCTTCCTGTGAGGGAGTGCTCTAAGAATCTAGACAACTACTGACTGTTAAATTATCAAGACATTGCTCCATAGCATGTACTGGTCTCATAGAAATTCCCAGAAGAAGGACTTTTTACAGAACTTTTGGTTTCTGAATGTGAGCATGAAATGTATATCCCTAAAGTCTTGAAAATCAATTTGTCAAAATTGCATCTATAAGATAGTTAAAATACCAAAATAAATTCAAGGTTGCTACCTTGTAGAGGAAACCCCAACGGAAATCCTTAACATGACAGAAAACTTTGCTATAATACATCATATGGGATTACAAATTTAAAGAATTTTTGCATCAAATCCTGAGTCTTCCTGTAAGGGAGAGACAACAAACACCCTTGCATCCATCTGGCTTTATGAATGATATTTATGGTGTCTCATAGATCTTCTACCTAGAAAAATTGTCTACACTGAGAAAAAAATAGCTTTAAATATAATGAAAAAATGAGGAAAATCTTCCATTTTATATTTTCTTTTTTATTGCAGAAAGAAACATACACAAACATTTTGTACCAAAGAAACTATTTCCAATCCAGTTGGGTAAAAGATAACCTACCTACAAAGAGTACATGAAAACTTAAAAGAGGAAAACTCTGAGCAAAAATATCTCCTAAGCAAATCTGGATTCTGTCACTGTAACTTCTGCGGCTCTCCAGTGTTCTACACATGATCTTAGCCAGAAGTCAAAGAATGATCACCTAAGGTTCACAGGTAGGACGGACTCCTTTGCCATCCTAGCATAAGTATCAGTCTTCACCAGAGAATCATCCTGATTATGCCTTTGTGGGAAGCTGAATTTCCATCTTTATGTCCATCTCCAAAAAAGAAAAAAAAACACTTCATAACCAATTTATGGGGTGTCATCCATGGGGAGAACTACCCTCCTCCAATGCTCCTAGTTGCCTATACTTCTCTGTCTATGGGTGGAGCCGTGTGATATTTGCCCCTTCTATGTTGGCATATCTACTTGTGCTATACTCCTTCAGGCCCCGCTTAGGAGGCCATGCTATTTCTGTTTCATCAGTGAAGTTCTCTGTAATTTTTTATGCGACCCAATCTCACAGTAGCTTCCATGTCATCTGGTTCTTACACATACACATACTCCACCTCTTACCCAAGCTTCCTTGATGTTAGGTGCTGAAGTTGTATTGGTGGTATAGCCATGGGGTCCACAATGGTTTTCTACCTTTTGACCCTTCTGGTTTCCTGAAATCATATACATACAAATAGTACCAGTAGGACAAAGCAGATGAGAGAGAAAATGAGGGAGCTTGAGGGGGGAAACTATGTAATTATATTTTACTTCTTAAAAAATTAAACTTAAAAAAAAAGAAAAAAACTTTATAATAGCAACCCTGTAGTTATGTGTAGTACTACACTGAGGATTCACAAGACCAGTTTTCTTTTTTTTCCCACTAACTTCTTGTTGATGATGTACAAGCTTGGACTCTACAAGTCCTAGTGCCCAGAGAAACTTGCTCCATTGAATTTCTTTGATTTTTAATCATCTATATTCTTTTTAGTACTTAATGTTCAAGTGGAACCTGTTGTGTTAAGGTTGTTGTGTCATCCCCTCCACCCCCTGCCAGTATACTGGGAGAATGGCTTAGTAGCCAACTCAGCCTGTGTGGTTAGGCTTTATGGTGTGATCTCCAGCATATCCCTGAGAGTAGAATGTTAATTTTAGAAGCAGCAATAATGATGCATAAATCCATAAAGAAATTGTGGAGTACTAGGTTAAACAATTGTGCATTCATATTATTAATGCCTGTTGAATATAAAGAGTATGGTATATACTAGGATATTAGTTATTAAGGGAAATAATGAACAGAAACTAGGCAGAATAAGCAATTAATTTGTATAAGAGCAATGGAGTAACATAGAGCAAGAAAAGATTAATATCAACTTGGGATGGGATATCATTAGGGTAAATGGAGTTTAAAGTTTATTAATTAGATGATGAATTATTTGGCTACTTTAAGAGAGTCACTCTTATTCCTGCCTTTACCCACACAAAATACTTGCAAACAGAATCAGGGACTACATCAAAAAGATCATCTACTATAATCAAATAAACTTCATCTCATACATGCAGGGATGATTGAATATACAAAAAATTAATAAATGTAATCGATCATATAAAACAAACTGAAAAAAAACCCACATGATCACTTCATCAGATACAGAAAAGACCTTTGGTAAAATCTAACACTCCTTAATGATATAAGTCCCAGAGAGATCAGAGATACAAGGAATATACATAGAAACATAAGAACACTTAACAACGAACCCATTGCTAACATTAATGTAAATAGAGAGAAACTCAAAACAGTTCCACCTAAATCAGGACTAAGATAAGGTTGTCCACTCCATATTCAATACAGTACTTGAAGGTTTAGCTTGAGCAATAAGACAATGAAGGACCTCAGGGGGATACAAACTCTAAAGGAGGGAGTCAAAGTATCCATATTTGAAGATGATATCATAGTATACATAAAAGATCCTAAAAATTCTACTGGGAACTCCTACAGTGAATAACACACCCTTTCTTCTTCCATTGTCCTTATATAGGCTTCCAATTAAAGGTGTGGCCAAGATTTTAAAATGTGTGCCTTCTTGCCTCAAGGGCTGGATCAAAGTCATGTTGTCTTCCTGACTCAAGTCTGGATCACAAGTGTGCCCTCCATTTCTGGATTATAGTTCATTCCAGATATAGTCCAGTTAATGATAGGAATAGCCATCATAGAGGACTAATATCCAAAATATATAAAGAACTCAAGAAACTAGATACCAAACAAAACCCCAAATAATTCAATTAAGAATGGAGTACAGATCTAAAAAAAATTCTCAGTAGAGGGAACACAAATGACTGAGGAACATTTAAAGAAATATTCAGCATCCCTAGCCATCAGGGAAATGTAAATCAAAACTACTTTGAGATTCCATCCTGCAACTGTCAGAATAGCTAAGATCAATATCACAAGTGACTGCTTGCTGGTAAGGATGTGGAATAAGGGGAACACTCTTCTGTTGCTAGTGGGAGTTCAAACTTGTAAAGTCACTACAGAAATCAACATGGTGTTTCCTCACAAAGTCAGGAATCTATCTATATCATGATCCACTCTTTAGCATACACCTAAGGGACTCTTCATCCTACCACAGGGACATTTGCTCAACAGTGTTCTTTGCAGCTTTATTCACAATAGCCAAAAACTACCAATAATCTAGATGTCCCTCAACAGAACAATGGATAAAGAAAATATGGTATAGTCACACAGCAGATTATTACTCAGCTGTTAAAAAAATGACACCGTGAAATTTGCAGGCCAATGGTTAGGCCTAGAAAAACATCATTCCAACTGAGATGATTTTTATCAGAAAGATAAATATGGTATGCATCTGGATATTAGGCATTGAATAAATTATAACTAAACTACAATCTATTGAACCAGAAAGGTTAGGTACAGAGGAAGGGAAGGGTGGCATATAGATCTCTTTGGGAGGGAGGAAATAGAACGAATTTTATGAGACAGAGAGGCTTCCTGCTTCAGTATATAGGAACAAATACAGAGACCAACAGCCAGTCATTACACAGAGAGTGAGACCTTTGAACACACAGTTCTAAAAGGGATATCTCCATCAAATTTCTCCCGTTAGAGCTCACAGAACTCCACAGAAGCAGAGCCAGAGAGGATGCTGGATGACAGAAGAAGGCCCTCTAAATCTATTGAGCAAAGCTCAAAAGAACTCACAGAAACTGAAGCAGCAAGAACAGGGCCAACAGAGGTCTGCACCAGGTCTTCTGCATACATGTTCTAGCTGTCAGTTCAGTATTTTTATGGGACTCCTGAATATATGAAAGAATGGGTCTTTGATTTTCATGACTATTCTGATGGCTCCTTTTCTTTTGTTTGTTTGCCTTATCCAACTTCAATGTGAGTTCTTTCTTTCTTTTTTTTGTATATCATTATATCTTCTTTTGTTATGTTTGGTTGTTATCTCTTAGAAGCCTGTTCTTTTCTAAAAAGAGACAGAAAGGGAGTGGTTTCAGTGGGGAGGAGATATGGGAAGAAACTGGGGGGAGTTGAGGGAAGGGAAACTATAGTAGGGATATATTCAAAAAGAAAAAAAGAAAATTATTCTATACATTCAAAAATCAGCAGAAAATTAATATTAATAAGTAAAACAGGACTGGGAATGTAGTTTGGTGGATAAGAACAATTTCTGCATATGTGTGAGGTCCAGATGTTCGATCCCAAGTACCCAAGAAAAAAGTGCATTGACAAGTCACATACACAAATAATGTGTGTCATAATATAATTTGTAGAAAATATAAAATATCATCTCTTTGTGTGAATTAAGGTTGAGTAGAAACTTCATCATCTCAACTGCAAAAATAGCCCATGATCAATTGATTGGTCTACAGGTAGAAAGATAGAACCAGGAATCATGCAAATTATCTATACACAAAGGGTTAACATTTTGATTTTTAATTTTACTGTTTTAAATTGAAATTTTAAATTTACCTAGGAAAAACAGCTTAGTAATTTTTTGTAAAATTTGATTTTGTGTATCCTCTATTAGCAGCAATTCTGAATTTCAGCGTATTCACCAAAATGGTGCACCATGCTTTGGCACCTAGTTTTCTTGGTCCCAGTAGTACCAGTAGAATGTCTTAAAATAGCTACAAAAATACTTTTGGTGAAAATTGCTATATGTGATCTTTGAGAGGAGATATTAACGTGAAGGGAGTAGGGTCAAGGATATTGTTTCTGCTCCACTCCATAGTATAGTACCACAAGATGATATCTACTTCACATGGCAATAATGCCCAAACTGAGAAGGTTAATTTATCTGAATAAAAATGTGGAATAAAGGACAGCTAACACTTACCAGCCCCTTTTCATATATACAGTAGAGTTCTAATACATATTGTAAATCATTTCATTGAATCATGAAATGAGATAGCTCTTTTACTTAACGCTAGTACTGTGTAATTGTTTTGCGGTACTAAAATTAAACCACGGATTTATGTATTCTAGGGAAGATGTCTATACTGATACTAAATCAAATCATTTTTATCAGTCTACTTTGCAATTATATATAAACAAGTGTCAGAGAAACCTGCAGTTTTATAGTTACAAACTGGGAAATCTGGATTTAAAATTATATTGATTTGAAATCGTCCTTGTACAATAGTTTTGTACAATGTTGCTCATTGGTCTAATTTTTGTTACTATAATCATAAGAAAGTTCCAAATGGTAAGTGGGCATGTCCCTAGACATTCCTCTTTCAGAGTTATGCAAAGCATAATGAGGAGAATGACAAAGGGGACTAGTCAGAACTCTGCCTTTAGGAACAGGTACTCCTGCTGGGAAATTATATTATCTCTAAGCATCCAACACTAGTTATGACACTGGATACAAACATAAGCTCAGCTACATCTACCCTCGAGAGCTTATCCAATGTGGGAAGAAGTCCCATAACAAAGAGAATAATTTTCTAAGGTATCTTGGTCTTAGGATGAATATTCTCATTTTTTAGAGATACATAGAAGATACTGATTTTCTTTTCTATATGTGAAAATAAATTTTTGGTGAAGTTCTCAAAATTATGTTACTTCCCCCTATACTACTCCCAGACTAGCACAGGCATGTCTCATTGATGACTATAACCTGCTTCATTATTGTTAACTGCAACCCTCTCAAGACAGTGAAGAGAAAGACATCATGAGTTCTGATAGCAGGGAAGGCTCCAGATGACAAAGGTGAGCAGTAAATGATCTTTGCCTTGACAAATCCCTATGGGTTATTCCACTTTACTCTTTACTGCCCTAGTTCCTTGTAGAGGAAAACCAGGGGAAAAATGTTCAGAGACATTGAAGTTCTATATGCATTTCCTGTGGATATGTGGAAATAAAGTGGGTATGAGAGAAAAGGAAACAGGGCTTTCTGAGGAACAAAAAAGATCAATTGTATGTCAGTGCTGTGTGTTCACTAAACCCCAAATTAGTAAGCAGTAACTCCAGTTCTGCCTCTGGAATCAAAAATGGGTTTCGCCGGGCGGTGGTGGCGCACGCCTTTAATCCCAGCACTCGGGAGGCAGAGTCAGGTGGATCTCTGTGAGTTCGAGGCCAGCCTGGTCTCCAAAGCGAGTTCCAGGAAAGGCACAAAACTGCACAGAGAAACCCTGTCTCGAAAAACCAAAAAAAAAAAAAAAAAAAATGGGTTACTTGTTAATGCCATTTTCTACTCCCATTATTACAGATGCAAGCAATGAAGCAAATGGCCAGAGAAAGTAACTCTTCAGTGACTGAGTTCATTCTTATGGGATTAACAGTTCAACCAGAGCTCCAGCTGCCACTGTTTGCACTCTTCTTGTTAAACTACACAGCCACTGTTCTAGGAAATCTGAGCTTAGTGAATCTCATTTGCCTAAACTCACACCTTCACACTCCCATGTACTTTTTCATCTTCAATCTGTCCTGCATTGATTTCTGTTATTCATTTGTTTGTACTCCAAAAATGCTGATGAGTTTTGTTTTGGAGAAGAACACCATCTCCTTTACAGGATGCATGACTCAGCTATTTTTCTTCTGCTTTTTTGTCAATTCAGAGTGTTATGTGCTGACAGCCATGGCCTATGATCGCTATGTGGCCATCTGTCAGCCCCTCCAGTACACAACTGTCATGTCCCCTAAGATCTGTGGTCTGCTGATGTTTGGTTCTTACTTGATGGGTTTTGCTGGGGCCATGGTTCACACAGGGTTTATGATCAGGCTCAGCTTTTGTGATTCTAACATCATCAACCACTACATGTGTGACATCTTCCCTCTTCTCCAGCTCTCCTGCAGTAGCACCTATGTCAATGAGCTTGTGAGTTCTGCTGTTGTTGGAACAATTATCATTTTATCTAGCCTAATTATCTTAGTCTCATATGCTATGATCCTTTTCAATATCATTCATATGTCATCAGGTAAGGGTTGGTCCAAAGCCTTGGGCACTTGTGGGTCTCACATCGTAACTGTTAGTCTCTTCTATGGATCTGGGCTACTTGCTTATGTCAAGCCATCATCTGCTGAGACTGTGGGCCAGGGAAAATTTTTCTCAGTGTTTTACACTCTTGTGGTCCCCATGCTGAATCCTCTCATTTACAGTCTCCGGAACAAAGATGTCAAACTTGCTGTGAAGAAAACCATGAAAAGAATCACAGCTGAATGAACAGTGATGGTTCCTTATCCCTGCCCCACTGCTTTGGCATGTCCCTCTCTCTTCTTTGTCTTTCTCATTACATTTCTCCTGTTCTGTTTTTTCTCATCTATATATAGTCTGGGGATTTCTACTGTAATCCCTCATCCTGCCACTATGAGATGTTACTGTGGTGTCTTATTTTTTTCATTTGAGTTGTTTTCAACTTTACTATGGCTCCAAGATGTTTGTCATTGCCTGTATCAGATCAAGACTCTGTTTTCCTGTCTTTCTGTTCCTAGAGATAATAATACCTATGGCTTTTTGTTGTGTGCCTTCTCTTCAAGGAAATTCATGAAGTGTATTTTTTATGCTCCACTTCTTTCTTTCTTCCATTTCTGAGACAATTTTGGTTTTCTTTGCATGTTTGCTTCCCGAGACAACAGGGAGTTTCATTAACTAAATTTAGATGAGATAAGGAAGGACAAAGATGTAGATATAACATAGTTGTCAAATTTCAAGTTTATCTGAGGTTCTTCAGAGAAGTTTTCTTATGTCAGACTTCTAGTCTCATATCTATAATGAAATTCTGTACTATTTTTAAATAGCACTTGATTCTTACATGTTTCTGAGGATATAATCAGCCTCATCCCTCTAATCAACCCCCACAATACATAGACAATCTAATATTTAGTTTTGAATAGAACTGAAATTGTTACTGTCTTTCTATGTTACATGGATTGATCTATGATTTTTTTAAGCGACATATTCACATTCCTGGATACAGAACACAGGACTATTTATTCCTTCTGTTGTATATATATGATGGATACAGTTTTGTAAAATCAATCTGCTTCCTATAAAAACAAAACCACAGCTGGATTTAAGGGATAAAGTGCATACCTGCTTTTGTTTGAGTTTGACTCTCAGGGACAAAAATAATGTATAAATCTATAGTGTTATTTTTATATGTATCTATTATCTGGATAAGGAAATAGTTTATATGACTTTTTAAGGACACACAGTATATGAATCAGAGATTAGATTCACACCCATCTTGAATTTGATGAAGAAATACAAGGGTAGGTAATTGTGGGAAAAAAGACTTTCTAGAGAGTTGTTTCATAGTGATTTCAGATGTTGGGATTCTCTCAGAAAATAGACAGCCATGATGCCATAATGCAAAGATTTGAGATACAACTAGAAAATACACAAATTCCTACAGAATCCTCACATTAAAGCAGTGCAGGTATGGGAGACAAAGTAATAAATATTTTCATCTTTTTATGATTGGTGATCATTTTTCTAGGATGTTGAGACTGAGGAACTTTAGTAAGCTTTTCTGATGAGTCATGTTCACTTAGTTAAATATATATTTCAGGAGCCTGTTATATGTCACATATTCATTTGTAGAGAGAAATGACTTAGGTAGAGCACAGAAAGAATAGTTAATTGTATTGTACAGTATTTGTGTGTGTGTGTGTGTGTGTGTGTGTGTGTGTGTGTGTGTGTGTGTGTGTGTGTATCCACAGGACCCAAAACAGTTCCGAACAGAGAGTTCTCCATCTACATCTTTTGACTTTTTTGGGGGGACAAAAGGATAAGCTTCCAACTAGTCTACTTAGGATACCAACAACAGACCAAAGAAATGATTGAACACAAGTCAATCCTGGTGAAACTATGAGTAGGTTGGGGTTGCTCTCAGGGTCTGACAGGAATATGGGAGACTCAGGAGTAGCTGCATCACTGATAAGCCCTAGCTGTTATGGTTAATGACTCACTCAAGTCTCATCATTGATAAACACTCAGTTCTACACAGAGGCTTTTGGTATTTCAGGAACTGTTTACTGGTAACATGTTCTTGAGGCAGTGCTTTGTGAACATTGTGTGTGTACTGAATATCAGGAGCCTTACCCTTTCCACCAGGAGTGTTTCTGTTTTGAGGCAATAGTATAAAAAACAGTGGTTATGTCTTCCTTGGATCTTTAAAGTGTGATTCTTTTATTTATGTAGATCATGATACTTGAAAAGTTCTAAAATATTTGTTTGGATATATAGGCTGATAAATTCTTATTCCAGTTAAATCTTTCAATCAATCTGAATAAAATTATTGGTACTAGAATTAAGCATTATTATTTATGTTTGTATAATTATCAAGTTTGCTTAAAGTTGACTTTTCACGGATATTCTATATTTTTGTTTTTTGCTGTACTCTTTGCTGCACATGAATAATCAGACTTGTGAAAAATGGTTTGAAATCTACTCATATATATGTATTTTAGTAGACATGCAATATTTCTTAAGGATACAGGGTCAGGTGTGTAAAACACAAACCTAAAGTAAGTGTACTTAGATAAAGATTAAGTGTTGAGTCGTAAGTTCAAGATGCAAAGCATCACTGAGTATTCTTCTGTAGACAGCAGCTTAGACTGGAGGAGAACAAGTCAGAGCATAGCCTGGCTCAGTTTTGTAAATCAAATAGGCATATTTCTCCCTCCTTCCTTCCTTCCTTCCTTCCTTCCTTCCTTCCTTCCTTCCTTCCTTCCTTCCTTCCTTTCCCTCTTTCTTTCTTTCTTTCCTTCTTTCTTTCTTTCTTCCATCTTCACATGTGTGTAGTGTTCATGTGAATGTGTGCACACAGTGTGCATGTGCATGTGGTTGTTATCAGGAGTTTTTCTCCATCACTATCCATTTAGTCATTGAGTTAGGAGCTTTTATTTGATTGCAAAGCTCACCAATAGAGCTAGTCTAGATAGTCAGCCTGCTCCAAGGGTTCCTCATTGTCATCTGAGTGTGGCAATTACAGGCAGATCAAGGTAGCCACCTGTGGATATTATTGTGTGGATTCTCAGATTTGATCTCTAGTCCTCCATCTTCCATGGTAAGTGCTTTATCCATTGAGCTATCACCTCAGAGTAACGGGCTTATTTAAATGTTTAATTGCTTTTGTTGATTTAGGAAAATGAAATGATTTAATATTTAAATTAAATTCATATTTAATACTATCTACTACTAAAATTACTCGATATAAACATAGTTTTAAAAAATTAACATAGTAAGTCAAATCTGGTATTAACTTATTAAAATCATATTAAGTCATTTTTGGGATGAAAGCTTAATAACATTGAATAACAAAGAATAGGCACTGTCAACATAAATGGCCATAATTCTGGATTGAACTGCCAAAGAAATTATGAAGTGAGAAATCTCAGAAGTTTAGTGTATTGCTGCTCATGGAACGGTGTCTTTTTTACCATCTAGTTCAATATGTCACTCAAATGAATTTAAATGCTACTGAATTCTTCACTTGATGTGCCCTCAACATCAAATTCTCTGTGGATAAATCTGGGATGCTTCTTTCTGCAGTTCTCACCCCTTCTATTTCATGAATAGATATCAGCACAGAATTTCAAAACTATCCCATGCATCTCTGATGAAGGAATTAATCCCAGACCAGTTGGATATGATGGCATAGTTGGAATTTAAGCTCATTACCCTGGCAGATGGCAGCCTAGAATGGGCTCTGGTGAGGTCAAAACTTAGCTGGTCTGTCTTACAAGCAAATCATGGCTTTGTCAGGAATAAGAATGAAATAACATGGCACTCCTTGCTTCAGTATAACAGCTGAAGCAGGGTCCTTCTATAGCAGGACAGCAGTCAAAGACAGAGGGGGATAAAACATAGTGAGGTTGCTGGTGGAATCTGTTCTTCTAGGTAGCAGAGCAGGTGCTCACCACTAGGCACTGCCTCTGAGGCTAAGGAACCTCTACTACTACCTTGAATGAATTCATGGTAGATGTGCTTCAGTGTAGTTAAAATACATGACTTTTTTGTTTACATGGCTCAACATCTACTGACCCTGAAGGGTTCATCCAAAAGAGACAAATGAAAGGATTCCACGCAAGAACAACTTGATGAAGCAATAGATTCATTTGGGCTACTTAAAGAACATGGGAAAACTAAAGGCAGCCTTGTCACTGTAATCCTACCCAACATGAATGGTGATTCGCCAAAGCTGCTTCTCTAGTGCTCCTGTCCAACTTTCAAGCAAGTCTTACCAAAGAGTCCCCCTTCTTTGAGAAACTGTTTATGACTTATATCATCTTAGGAGGGGACTTGTAAGTTCTGTGATCTCCCCTGAGTCTTAGGACACTCCTCTCTTGAGGAAGGAATGTTTCAATTTAGAAGAAATAGGTACAGAAAAATTGAAATATCCTTCTTAGCACACAGATGGAACATGCTTACTCTGATTGTAACCTTGATCTCAGGGTGATGGACTCTTCTTTCCTGTCATTGAGAGCAACACTTGTGCAGACATGCTCTATGATACTAGTGGTCCCATCAGGTCACAACCGAGCCAATAGTCTGTGAAACTTGGCTGTTGCCATGACTGGGCCCATTTTTGTATAACATCTGCATCTTCTAAGCTGGAGCAGGGGAAGAGATTTTTTTTAATTAATACATATAATTACATTATCTCACTCTTTTTCTCCTTCTCCATCTTCCCCCTAATTTTCAATTCTTTCTTAAATTCATGGCCTCTTTTAATTTTACATACAAGCTCTGTCTCTGTCTCTCTGTCTCTCTCTCTCTCTCATATGGTTGCTTGTATGTATGATTTCAGGGCTGATTACTTGTTATTCAATAACCAGTTAGTGAGTTTATCCCTGATGATGACTAATTCTTTCACTGTCAGCATTTCTTTGTCTAAGTGTGGGGCCTAGTGAGATGTCATCCCTTCCACATTAGTATGTTTATTTCTATGGTGTTTTCTTTGTTCAGGTCCCATTTAGGCATAAATATTGTTGGAGTATCATGGGTGTGTCATTTCTAGGGATACAGTCTCTCAACAGATTTCCTGGTTCTCTGGCTCATAATCTGGTCCTTCTTTCCTGATGTTTGCTGAGTCTTAGGTTCAGGAGTTATAGTGTAGATTTATAAATTGGGACAGGGAACCAAAGATCAATTGTTTTCTGCATTTTGACCACTTGCAGATTTCTGTAATAATCTTCATTTGTTGCAAAGGGAAGCTTCATTGATGAATGGTAAAAGCTATGCCTATTTGAGGGTACAAGGATAAATATTTAGAATGAAGTTAAGATTTATGCTGGTTTAGTAAAATGGTCATAGTAAGTTTTCCTTTAATATACATGACCTCACTAGCTTTG